GCAATGGTTTTGTGTTTAATGATACACTCTCCCAAGATAAGACCTTCAATGCGTCGTTTAGATCTGCGTGGTGTGTTTTCGGTATAAATATGTGAGTGTTTCTCTTCTTGAACGCATCCTCTCTTTGTATAAATATGTGAGTGTTTCTCTTCCCCAAAAAATCAGAGACTGAAATGGCAAAAGCTTTTAAATTATTAGCTGTTTTGAATACTGACACCACCGTGGAAGTGCGTCTCCTGATATTTTGGGAGGCTCAAGGCAGCGAGCTTATACGTTCGTTAAGCTTTTTGTTTTAGTCTCGAAGATGGTGTCTCCTTTGGGCATCTTCATCAGTTTTTTTATTTTTATTTTTTCCCTGAGTCAATCATGTATTCAAGCTTAGAATCCATGTTTGTTTACTTCTCTGTTTAGGTTTTCGTTTTTATTTTTTTTTCTCACCAGCTTCTGATGTTTCTTTTGAGATTTCTAGGATTCTCTCTTTTTTTGTCAAATTAAATCGACTGTACGTCTTTTAAAGACTCTAACGCAATCAACGCTTTGAGGACATTCCTTTGGATTCTTTTTTAGGTACATGTATATTCATAGTTGGATCTGAGTTTCTTAGTAAACTGAATACTTTTTTTTTTTGAAAAAAGTGATTAAAAACAATTAATTCATACTTTGTTTAGTTTGGTTCTACCGACTATCAAACTAACCACCAGCTTCAGGTACAAATGAATGTATTAAATCTGAATAAGTTGGCTTTAGAATTCTAATCTTCGTTTACAATGCTTTGTCTTAATCTTCCTTTTTAACCTGTAGGACAGCTATCAAGTTTTCAGCTTGAACAAACTAAATCTTAATGGCAGAAGCATAGAGCTTTGTCCCTTTTCAGGGCACAAGGAATGATGTCATTTGGAGACTCAATTCATACAAGCATGGTTGGATCGGTGGTTTCAGAACTGGATTTAGGTACGTTCATGTCTCTTCTCTTTTGCTTTTACAAAAAGTGTTACTGCTTGAGAGAGATGAGGTTGATATTCATTTATGAAAACTCTATGATTTTAGCACACACAACATACACTTTGCATCTTCGGTTCCTGTAACTACATCTGGAGAACAGTTAGCGAGAGATACTGGTACATGAAATCATGATTCCATCTAAACATCAAGGTTGTTCAATGCTAAGGTATGCCTTTGCTTCACTTTATTCACTCATATTCAACCTTAAACTGAAGCTTATTTAGATATCAGTAGAGAACTTTTCAGTATATGACAATGTATGTGTTTGCAAGAATTTGTCTCTGCAAGACGTTAAGCGAGATTGTGTTAGGACTCCACGTCTTTTCATTGATCTAATTAAGCTAAGAGTTTTAAATCTATCTGATCAGTTCAGTGTCCTTTTATTTGTTAGATATGCTCTTCGTTGATACTTTGATTAAAATCAATTTGGTGAAGCAAAAGCAAGATAACTGAAGGTGAAGCAAGTCCATCTGGCTAAAGCCAAAGATGATATCAATCCCAAATTTATAAAGGTATCTGAACGTGAGAAAAGATAAAGCCAAGGAAGTAATCCCAAATGTTGAGTGGTGGTATGTAATTTTTTCTCACTCTACTTTTGTTGTTGTTGTTAATGCTGTGTGTTGTTTGTTTCGAATATTCATCTAATGACTTCACATGATATAACTTTGAGGTAAACAAATTCATACCACAGTTATCAAACTGAAAGTGATGAATCTCATAACAGTAGATTATAGTTAAACTGGGAGACTTTGTGCTGTTTTGATCTCACTTTTCTGTATATGTTCATGATGGGTTGTCTTAGCTCATAATTTTATTTTCTCTTTCAGGGATGCAAGTGTCCTCACCAGTGGCATGTATGTCGACATAGCTGATGGTACCATTACTGAAGGCAATCTGAAGACAGAAAAGCTCACACACTACATTGAGCATCCCCGTCCCATAGAGCCACCTGCAGAAGCAGTGCCTCCAAAAGAAGGAATACAAGAAGCTGTGAACCCAAAGACGTCTAGCCAAACTTCTTACACATCTTAAACATAGAAATTATGAGTGATAAAAGTTCAAATCTGTTAGACAAAACAAAAACTAAAAAAAAGTTAAAACTTACATTTTCAGAAATTTGTCTAATTATTAATATTTATATATAATACTGAAACAAATAGAAAATATACAAAAATGAATATTATAGAAAACCCCGGGCGTAGCCCGGGCCGACCCTAGTTACAAACATACGCAAAAGAAAACAATTGTACAATGATTAGCCCTTTCTCAAAAAAAAAAAAAAAAAAAAAGAATTTTTAGAGAATAATTATTTTTTTGTGTGGAGAACTTAGAGAATAATTCTATCACGAGGTGTTACAGAATATGTCTCCATCTCATTACCAGATCAGTAATACCGTTTTCACCTTTTTCAGCATAAAGAATTGGGCCTAGGTCTGTTCTAACGTCTGGTATTAAAGTCACCGGATCTTTCGACCTCATAGTCACCTTAGAACAATATTATTGGTGGTACCTTAGCGTTATTTCTTAGTGGGAAAGTTTTGTAGTTTTTTTATTAAAAACGCTAAGGAACATCCGTAAAATCCTTTATTTAAGAGATTTTACGGATGTCTTTTAACTTTTTTTAATTAAAAGTTAAGAGACTTTTCCGCAAACGGACAATTCTAAAGGACCACCGATAATGTTGTCCTTAGGAAAATAGTTTTTCTAAACATGAAAGTTGAATTGTTCGGATAGCTCCACATAAATTACCTCGCCTGATTGTAACTTTGCAATTGAATCTTTGATTAGTCATTGACTCACTGTTATTACTTGGAAATTTAGAATCGTACAGACTCTAAGCCGTAATTGTCGTGCATTAGTAATATAATTTGTTTTTGGGCAAGAAAAAAAATTGTTGTTAATTGATCTTTTTGATGTACATTTGTTAGGAAATAAAGAATAATGGGTACTATATACTAATCTGTTAGTCGGTGATTAACTATTCTACTCAAGATTGTTGTTGATGATATTTTAGTCTCTAAAGAACAGTTATGTTATTCAACTCTACTGTCCTACCAATACTACGTATATCTTCAGGTTAAGCTTTTAATATACACATATATTTAACAGTAGGTTTAGATCTATAACTAAAATTACACATAGCATGTGCACTTCAATTATATAAAGTGACAATATTTAATATTATATGAACTCTAAAGTGTGATTACCTCGAGAGGGGAATATCTTCGTAAGAATAAGATAACTATCGGGATGATCAACACGGACGCATGTTTGCTTTGGGGACAAAAGTCAAATTACACTGAAAATTTCAAGGTTCAATCTTAAAGTTTCCTAACCCCCAAGACATTCAATAAGTCAACTTCTTGATTGAGATATATTAACCATATCCATGGTTTTGTGGACACTAGTTAGCTTAGGATCCTCCATTTATTAAACAAGGGAAGTAGGAAACGTGGAAGGACATGGGTCTTAGACTGGTGGATAGAAGACCAACATCAATCTTACTCCTCTTTTGATGTTAATTGGAATTTATTATACAAAATAATCAAATGAAATAACGTATTATTCGTTTAAAATAACTTTACTACATAGTTTTGTTGTTTTAGTATTTTTGTTGTTGTAATTGTGCTATACCGAGTAGAAAACTGAAGTAGGGATTGAATATAAATTGTAGAAGCACCATAGTCTATTACTAGGTTAAGATTTAAATGCTTTTACACCATGTCTAGAGTTCGAATCATAGGCTACGCAATTTCTATATTAGGAGAGTTTCAATTCCCGGAGAAGGTGAATGGCGAATTATGCAGATTAAAGAAAAAAATTTATAAGAGATATTCAGCATCGCGCAAATCGTATTGCCAGGAATGAATCTCACTGGACGGCTCAAAATAATGCAGTCAGACGTGAATATTGGCATAAGACATGTAAAATTATCGGTTATAATATTGTCTATATAATTTCTCATAGTATGTAATGCATAATTATCTAGTGTAAAAAAAAAAGATTGAATATAAATTTTTGGCGTAAGAAATAGTAAAATATCATTTATAGATACGATACTTTTAAATTAAATGAGAGATAGAGTAGGTTTTGTCTATACGTTCAAAAGAAAAAAGATTAATCTACAGTCAAAAGATAAAAGATTAAACTAGCTATACTTGACAACCATGATGACTAGTATTGTTTTTGTTTTTTTCTTTTGAGAAAAATTATGACTGCTATTGTTTCGAACTAAACGTCGCGTTTACGTTTTATTTACAAGTACGGTCGATAAGCACAAATTGTCATCAAAATTATGCACAATGTAGGCAAAAAAATAGGTTTTTTTTTTTCACTTTCCGTTTGGTTAACAAAACTTTAACTTCGGAAAACAAGCTACGACAATATGTCAATGCAATAAATATAAAATGTATACAAACAATTAGGTTCAAACTTCACTGGCCACACGGATATGAATTATTGCTTTCGATCCATTTGAAATCCCTGAAGAGGGTCTATCCGTAGGTTGTACGTACTTCCACCTGGGGGTTAGGTCTGTGTCTTTAATAAACTCGGATTTAACCATTTTTCTTTTAAAAAAAAAAATATTGCCGTCAGATAGTTAGGCATCCTCATCGAAATCAAATACTGCAAACAATTCATTACATACATATGGACACATGAAGCCGTAAATTAATACATCATACAATATTATAAAAGCGTATATAGAAGATGGATCAAGACTAGTTTCTCTCAATATTCCAGAAGAAGACTTCAAAAACCAACGGAGTTTGATTTCATATGTTTAATGACGGCACTAAACTTTTGTTTTTGTGGGGGTTTGTAATACAATAATATGGCTATGGATATAAACTTATAGGTAATGCAAACAGAAAAAATATATCAAGCTATGGATATATAAGATTATCTAAGGATCAATATCGAGCTTTTTTGATCTTTTTACCGAAATCTTGAAGAACAGACGGAGGAAACATAGATTCGACTTCTCTTGCTACATCCAAGAAAACCACGGATCTCTTCAACCACATGGCTCTCCCTTTCACGGCCGGGGTAGCTTTTGGCTTTCTTGGCGGCCGAGGAGGACAATAGCACCTTATGTTTGAATTCCTCGGCGTCTCTAGGATCTCTACTCGAGAAGTTTCAGCAGTATATTCCCATTTTCGTTTGCTTCTTGATTCATACTGGAGCTTTTCTTGTTCTTGTTCTTGTTTTTGATCTTGTACTTGTTGGTTGCTTCCATCACTTCTAGATTTATTTTCTTGAAGACTTGGAGATAATGATGATTCTGGAGGCTGGGGTTTTGATGGAACTAGGTGACTATCGGTATTTTGCATGGCTGCGATATCTTTGTCATCAGGCAACAACTGAAATAACTTTGTGTCTGCCATCTTATCACAAACAGGGAGAGAAACAGAAAAAAGAAGGGTTAAATTTAAAGACAACCTAAAACTTTGATATCAGAAACAGCAACAAGACCTCTTTATATATATTTATATTAGAGTGTATACGTGTGTGAGAGTACTGTGTTTTTTTCTTTTTATCAACAGTACTGTGTTTGTATTGCTATATATAAGTGCTGTAAATTAACAAGGAGGAAAATAAATTGACTGAGATACTTGTGTGAGTGTAGGCTTGATATTGGTGTGTGCACGATACCTAACAAAGAGACACACCACCAAATCAACGAGGGAGCGAGGCATGCATACCATTAAAAGAGAAAGGATATTTCTTATTTATAATTTGCTTATAAAAAGTGCACAAACAGAAACCCACACACCAAACTCAACCCTTATCTTTATTTTTTTGAGAAAACTCAACCCTTATCTATAAACTGCAACTCACCGAGACATACTATCATATCTATAAAAATAGGGAGAGAAACAGAAAAAATTCAACCTAGCTTCTCTAACATAATCCATTAAAAAGATTCAACAAATATGACCTTTTAATCAATTTTCACAAAGAAAAAATCTCCAAGTTTATAGCGTTAAAACAAGTTTATAAGCGTTATACTAATTCTAATAAAAAGTTGCGTAAATTAAATATTTCGGTCACATTTGATGAATAATTCGATCAAAATTAAACATATAGTAGCTTGAATGCAAACCTAAATAATCAAAGTTTTGGAAACTCTAAATTTGGCTATGGTTTGTATATATGAATGAACGCTTTTAAATTAAAAAAATATGTTTTTAAAAGCATAATTTATCATAACGTATGACCTTATTTACGTGCAGGGTTTGAATACTTTGTTAAGCAATATCAAGTTCAGTGCACTCTAGACTAATAAATTATGTACCTCGTCTTGAACTTCTATATATATAAGAGCTTTTAGTATAATTTGATATAAAATTATGTGGGTCCTGACTCCTGAACACAGAGAAAAATTGAAATGAAAAGCACTTTGTGCGAGGGATCCAATGTAAAAACACACTTACTTATGCATATCTTTCTGCATTTTTGCATTTACATACAAGCCACACAAATACAAAATAAATCACTGTATCAGCATAGAAAGTAGCTAATATTCAAAAAAACTTTAGCCATAAAGAAACCCTTCTTTCTCCATAGTCAGATTATGTCTTTTAATCTTTTTTACCACCAAGGGTATCAGCATAGAAAGTAGCTAATATTCAAAAAAAAATGTATAAATATTATTTTTAGATTTTCGCATTTTTAGTTTTTACTAATAAATTCTTAATCCTATTAAATTAAATGAGCTGTATATTTACCAACTTGTTTGTTGTATTTGTAGTGGACTAATCGACCTAAATTAGAGTATCCCAATGGAGTCAGAATCTCCACTTCTCCCCCCCCCCTTCGGGGGATATTCTTATCTTTTCCAAAACGTAATGCATGTCACTTCATCTCAACGGTGCGATTCCTATATATTCATGTATATCCAATAGGTAGTTAGCCAAACATTTAGAATATAACTATTGTAACAAAATCAATACCTAAGAACTCTTGAATAGAACAATAATTTATTATATACATAACATATTAATTCAACTCGAACTATAGAAAACAAAATAGTTACAATGTATACTTGGGTTATGAAAGGTATACATATATACACCACATAGGTTGAGTATAATTTTTCATGAAAACTCTCATGTGACTCGTATACTTACTTTTGAACTTTGATTCATAAAAATCAGATCATGTGATTATATAACTAACATCTGCTGCATCTTCTTTTGTTAAAGTATCTGATGCATCTTATGTGGAATCTATTCTCTTTTTAGCTTTATAATCACTTTTCCATCCTTAAGCTTATTAATTACTTAAAGCTTTCATGTGATCGCGATACCACTCTGTATATATTTATCCAATACCCATGCACGGTTAACAGAATAAAAGTTAATGCAATATTCATACTACTTATATATATTAACAAGCATCAATTGGGGTTTTTGTTATGTCACTTTATATGTATGACATACACATTCTATTGATAATTATCATCAATGAAATTATTACATAATTTGATAGAATATACATAAATCGTTGCTTCTGGCGTATAGTCTAAGGTCTCCTGTAAGTGGTAAGAGTGATTCCTAGGATTCCTTCATTGACACGGATGGTTTTGGAAGAGGTTGTAGATTTGGTACGACTTGTTTGTTATTTACTCATTTTCATAATATAGCCCAGACCGGAAACTGCCATAGATATTTCATGTTTTTGTTTATCCAAAAATAACCATTTTAGTTGAAAAGATTAAAACTGTTTTGAGTTTGATAAAATCTGTATTTAAATTGGTCAAAAAAATCTGAATTAGAATAGAAAATTTTGATGTCGTTCCAGTACTAATAATATCACAAATCATCTACATAAGAAATGTGGGCGAACACCGAAATTTTCAGAAAGTATGGTATGCGTACAAACCATATAATATCAATATCAACATTGTACGTAGAATATATTGAACATTGCTACATCTTTTCAAACAATTTGTCCTTACAGTGATCATTTTGGATATAGAAATTCATGACTATGCAACGAAATTCTGTTATGGAAAAAGAGATTGTGAAGTGAAAAGTGGAGAAGAAAACTATTTTGGAATTCTATTGAAATTTAAGGAAAATAATAATATAAAAGATGACAATTATGTCTCCACGCTGGGACCCATCTGAGATTGCTTGGGTTTCACCGCATCCTAAGTTTATTATTGTTGACATTTGTATTTTTCAGTTTATTTCGAATCCAGCGCCATGATTTATGATGCGACAACATAATTTTGATAGATTAGTCTCATTTTTGGGTTAAATTTTGATTGATATCTTATATTCTTATGAAAAGAGGGTAAGAGAATTATAGTATTTTGTAACCTGTGGTCACGGTAGTATAAAGATGGCGTGATGGCTAAACATTATCTAGAACTTGCAATCATTTTTTGGAGTAAAATTAGTTTCCTTTTCTATATATTTTCTGTGGGTTAATTTAAATATCTAAAGTATCTCCAAATACAGAATAATAGTTAGAATTGGTCCATAAATTATTAAGGGGGGTGTTAGTTAAAGTAAGATTTATAAAGAGTTTGTTGATTTTAAAAATTTGATAGATTTATTGAATTTGAAAAGAATTATTTTATATATTATAAAAATTTAGAAAAATAAAGTGCATAATAATTTTAAGAATTTAAGAAATATATGTAGTATTCTTAAAATCTTGTTGTATAAATTAAATGGTTGAGAATACAACTTTCAATAACATTAACTTTAATATATTTATAGAATCTTTAAAATATAATCTTTTTGAATAACAAACAAATTTATAGGTAATTATAAAATTATCATCCTAATAACATTAGATTTTAGTGATAGTATAAGAATTTGTAAATTAATAACATTAATTGAAATTCTTACAATCATAATATTTCTCAATCAAAATGAGTAAATTTAAAAAATCATTTATATATAAAATTGTAGATGAGAAAAAAAATCAAGAAAAAGTAGTGTAAAAAGAAAGAAATGAATGTGAAAAGAGATGTGTGAAAATATGTGTGGTTTAAAAAAAATGAATGTAAAAAAGAGAGGAAGAATCGTTGAGAGAGAGAGTGTCAGTTATAGGCAATAGGATTTAGAAGGTTATTTACGTCTAACACCAACCAAATTGTAAAAAAAATTATTTTAATGTCAATTCATGGGTAAGTCTCTAATTTAACTCCCTTTTCTAGATATTTGGCTAATTTTCTCCGGTTTTTATCGGCATGTTATACCCCTATTTATCATATTTAAATAGAAGTCTGTATAAATTATTTCTGACCTATGATATTACTTTAAAGTAGCTTTAAAAATATTAGTATAATTTACTTTACGTATATAAATATACGAAAACAGAAGACATACTCTCATATACTAAATAATTACATCTCATGCTCATGCTTAATTATGCTGCTTCCCCACATTCAATCATCATTACACCATTTTCTCAATCTCCGCCAACCTTTTTCAGCAAATACCCTACTTTGTTACAATTTTATAATCTTGCTTTTTCTCTATGTTGAGGTTTCGAACCCCTTGGGGATTGGGTATGATATTCCGGTCGGCGTTTCACTGATAGACCCCAAAAAGTGGACATAATTTTTCTGTAGTGTGGTTAAAGTGTTCCGGCCACTCACCATTACGTAAAAAAAGCATAAGAGCATGTTTGTGCAAAGTTTTTATCATATCTCTAATTATTAAACTATAAAAAGAAAATTAAAAATATGAAAGAAAACTAAGATATGTTTCAATTTAAGAAATGTAAGAGACATCTCTTAACTTAATCATGCATCTTTTCTCCATTTGGTAACTTCTAATTAGTTTGACTATTTTATTTTAATTAATTTTTTTAATTATCTATATATATAAACTAAAGTTTCCCTCTTTCTCCATAGTCCACGTCACTAAATAGTCAAGAGAAAAGCTGCCGCGTGTCCATTTTTTTCGTTTCTGCTACGATTTTGTATGGGCCATTATGATTAAATTAGTTGGACTTGGCATTTAGTTATTTTATTTGTTAAAAATAAAAGCCCAACCCGAATGAAAGGAAAACATCATCCTTTTCACGACATTTAGGTGCTTTCATCGTCTTCTACAACTTGACTTCGTAGGGATCGTCAAACAAATCTATCGCCATCAATGGATTTTCAGGAAATTGTGTGAGACGAATCTTAAGTAGGAATATTTGGGTCGAGCATCATTCGCGTCGGTTCGTTTCAGATTATTTTCCTCTAAAACGTTACGAGTTTCATAGCCATTAAGACCTATCTTTACTCCTTCAACTCCCAAAAAGTACAATTAATCATTCAGTGCTTCGTATTTTTCTTCCAGGCGGTGTATATCCACCTATAAAAAGGCCAGTCTTCATTGCCTAAACATCATCCTCGCAATTCCTAAAAACACTATTTTACCAAAATTGTGTTGTGTTCAGCCCTTTATTTTGTTTTCATTGAGTTTATGTTATTGATTTGGCGGCCGGGCGCGAGAATATAGAGATTGAATTCTTCTTCTCAATTTGATAATCTTGCAAACTATGATTCTGATGTCTCAGAGGTACTGGTAAAGAAGATCGCCAAAGGTTTCCACACAGTAAGCATTGATCGTTATGATTTGTTTGCTCACTGAGTTCTTTGTATATATTGAAATCACAAGAGAAGGGAGAAAAA